TAAAAGACCTTAAAAAAAAACACATACCTGATTCACTAGTCATTACTAAAATAAATACTGGATACAAACTGGTGTATGAAGGGAGGGAGGGAAGGAGGGAGGGACAGAAAACACAGAAGGTGTCAGTCCAACTGGGTATACCACACCAGAAATCAACTCCAAAGGAAGGCTAATACTACTATTAATATTGGTTATAATAACATATTCTGAGAATCCTGATTGTGTTGTACCTTCTCCCCTTTCTTATACTCCAGTGAATTATGGAGGCATATCCCTCACCTACTTTGTTTTGTCTTTGTCTTTCAGTCCCTTTAGCCTAGGTAATAGTCTGGCCTATTTCCATCAAGGGAATCAATCTTCCTTACTCTCCACAGTAGCTGAATCATGTCATATATACATTGTGTGACCTGAACAATCTAAAATAATCCCTCAGATTAGATCCTCCAAGAGTTTGAATTTGAGTTCATTTTACTATGTCTTAGTATTTCTTGAACAAAAGTTGGATCTGATAATGATCAGAAAAAGATGGTTTTGTGTGTGTTGAAAAGAGAATGACAGATCTTCCATATTTTACTACTATTTCTATTTCTTTTTAAAAAAAATAAGCACATAAAATCAATAGAAATAGGTATTCAGGAGGGAGGGAGGGTCAGCCCCACTAGTTGACAAGATCAGGAAATCTACTTTGCAGGATCACTAGAAGTATTTTTTCTCCCCCCAACCTCCCACCACACTTCTTAACCTTGGTGAATCAGGCAGGTATTTGCCTGAGGTGCTTCCAAATGTTATCTGGTTTCCCAGGTCTTAAAAAAAAAGGTTTGGGCCCCTTTTGTCTACATGAGGGTTGTTGTGTATTTATGTCAAGGACATCTTCCTTAGTCTCTACAAGAAGGCAGACAATTGTTGAGGAATTATTTCATTAACCAGCTATTTTGATCATCAAGGTAAAAATATGTGTCTTTCTAGGATACCAGTATCAACAAGACTGATACAGAGAACCAGACTGCCAGAATGGAGTTCAATTTATTTATTTATTTATTTATTTATTCATTCATTCATTCATTCATTCATTCATTCATTCATTCATTCATTCATTAAATTTCTCCCCACTCATCTCCCCCCAATGAACTCTGGGCGGTTCACACAAAACATTAAAAAACATAAATACACATAAATACATAAAACATAAATATGTAAAAACATTACTAAAAAAGAGAAGGAGAATCCAAGAAGATGAAGGATCTGCGGCTGAAGACAGCAGGCCTTCATGGGGCTAGCCATCCCCATGCTTGAAGTATTCCTTTCACACCCCAGGCCGAGAGAGAACCAGGTCTTCAAAGCCCTCTGGGAGACAAGAAGTGAGGGGGTCAATCTCACCTCCAGGGGCAGAATATTCCAGAGAGTGGGGGCTACCTCAGAGAAGGCCCGCCTTCTGGACCCCGCTAGTCGAAGTTTTCTTACTGGAGGGGTCCGAAGCATGCCGTCTCTGTGTGATCGAGTGGAACGGGTTGAAGTCATGGGGAAGAGGTGGTCCCTTATGTCACCTGGTCCCATGCCATGTAGGGCTTTAAAGGTGATAATTAACACCTTGAATTGGACCCAGAAGCAGACTGGTACACAAAGCAGCACACAGAGCAACGGTGTTACATGGGCCCTTCTTGGGGCTCCAAAAATAGTCCGCGCAACTGCATTCTGGATCAGCTGTAGCTTCTGGATACTCTTCAGGGGTAGCCCCATGTAGAGTGCATTGCAGTAGTCATCCTGGTTGGACTGTCTACAACCGCTGAAATACAGACGTTTATCTTCTGGGTAATCATATTCATCTATGTTACAGCCATAAGTGCAAATTTGCTCCTTATCCTTACCATATGCATCTTTAGGAAACTACACACACCCATGTATTTCTTCATTGTCAATTTGTCCTTAGTGAATGTATTCTCTATATCAGTTACCACACCTAAATTGATCCAGAGTCTTTGGACTGGAAGAAAGACCATCTCGTTTTATGGTTGCATTGTACAGGTCTTTCTGTTTATATGGACTTTGGGCAAAGAACTTCTTTTTCTCTCCTTTATGGCTTTTGATCGCTATGTTGCTATCTGTCACCCTTTGCAGTACACCATGATCATGAGGAAGCAAGTGTGCTTTGGCATAGCAAGTACTGTATAGATTGCTGGAATGATGAATTCTGCAGTCCGTCCTTGTCTTATGATGAGACTCTCTTTTTGTAACTCCAATATTGTCAATCACTTCTTCTGTGACTTTCCCCCATTATTGCACCTCTCATGTTCATATACAAGTCTAAATGAGTCTATGGCATTTGTCTCAGATGTGGTATTTGGGATTGTTTGTTGAGGATTGACTCTAACATCATATTTTTTAATCATGAGAGCTATCTTCAGAATCCGTTCCACTGAAGGGAAGAAGAAAGCATTCTCCACCTGTTCCTCACATTTTATTGTGGACAGTATTTTCTACTTCTCAGCCATCTACACTTATATCAGACCCTCCTCAGACTATCAAGATAAGTTAATTTCTCTCCTTTATACAGTTGTAACTCCTGTTGTGAATATGGTCATATATTCACTGAGAAACAAGGATTTTAAGGAAGGATTGACAGAATTTATAGCTAGAGTCAGACTGTTCTGTAGACATCAGTACTGACCTGTATTTTGTTCTGGAGGGGGAAAAAAAAAAGGAACAGAGCAAGAACAATGACAAGAACAATAACAACGACAATAACAGTACATTTTGTGCCCTGTAATTATATATCATAGTATATGATTCCTATATTGTGCATGTCTTTTTTTTCCATGTCTCTATGTGAATGTAAAAGATATGGTAGAGAACTTATGGCTTATGACTACAGCACATAGCTTCAAACAGTAGTCCTTGTGGAAGTTTTCATAATGGAAAATTAATATGCAAAATGTGGCTGTAAATGTTTGGTTTTCTCTGTAGGGAAAAAAAAATAGAGACAATAAAATGTTATAAATTGTCTTGAACACTAAAGTAAGGGGTTTCTTGTTTTATCAATCACTCTAATCTTTCCTGTCACTTTGGAATACTTCATTTGCTGTCGTAGTACATCTGGAAATAAGCAGACTTTACAAACAGCTGATTTTTATCAAGTCTCTCATTGTAGGGACTCTCTGCTTCTGGAATTCTCTTCTACTCAGGAGATTGAAAAGTACCAATTCTTACTGCACACAAAAATAGAAAGTGTTGGATTTATACCCAGAGATAGATAGATAGATAGATAGATAGATAGAT